AATACTAGCTTTCATCAATATTTGTTTCTCCTAATTGAAAAAAAATGTAAATAGATAATAAATACAGATTTTACAAAAACGTTACCTCTGCTTCATGTTTTCTTTTATTCTTTTGTATCCTGTCTCGTTTTACGTTTCCAGCAGAAATAAGCACCGATTTTAAGGCCCGAAGCCCAAAATCGTAATGCGACTGGTTGGACAGCTGTTCATCACAAAGCCTTAAAAGATTATAAAGAGTGAGCATTGAAATAAAAACAAATGCATATTTTAATTAAAAGCTTTTTAATGCGAAGTGTACAAGACGCCGAAGCAGCTTAACAGCCGTTGCAAAAACTCATCGCGACCTTATTAGAATATTTTGAACGGGAAAGCGGTGATAATGGCCCTTTATGCCCCATAAGTGCTGTTAAGGAGGTGAGTTTGTTGATCTAAATAATAATTCTTTATATATTTATAATTCATTCATTCTTGTTTCCTAAAATATGTAAAAGTCGGCAACGCTGTGCTAGTCAAGCTTAATCACGTGACCAAAAGTTTATTTTTTATGATTTATATACAGGGTGGCGCACCTCATTCGCCTCGGTTGATTATACGAAAACAGATAGATGTAGAAACATAATTTTTATGGGTATATGTAGTGATGCAATGCGCATAATTTAAAATTATTTTCAAATGTACAGGGTGTGTCAGAACTAAAATCCATACCAAAGTTATATTTTTTCTTATGGAACACACCCGGTATTTTATTTCATTTTCGGATTCTTGGGCATACGATAAGGCATTTATTATAAGGGTTAATATGTTTAAATGCTTTGGTTTTTGAGATATTTAAAGATATTTAAATATGCATACTATAATAAAAAAGTTTGTCAACGCCTTGAACATTACTTTTCGGAATTAATTCTTCTGCTGAATTTCGAGCCAGAGAAATAAACTTTTCTAAAAAAATTGATTCCTTCCTTAAATGTATACAGGGGTATCAAAAATTGCTGGCCTATTTTAAATATTTATTTTACATAAAAACTTCGTTATTTCAAATACAACACCCTGTATTTTTTTAAATAAATTAAAGCAGATTTAAATGCTCTATCAAACTATATTGGGGTTTCCTATATCTATCTAGCTTAGATTTTGAATAAAAACGATTTTTCAATAAAATGGCAATCAAGATGGCTGGTGTCGCCATGGCAATTTGCTAGTAACAGTTAATAGCAATTTTCAAAATCGACATTAGTTATGGACTTTATTTAAATTTATAACAGTTTACTTTTATTTAATTTACCTACTAATAGTTTAATAAGTAAGTATTTATTATTTTATAAAGAAAAATAAAGTAGTTCTTTTTGATTTATATTACGATGACTTGTAGATACATATATTGTATTTTCTATAAAAGAACCAATTAAGGCAAATTAATTTTCTTCACTTCCAACGACAGGTTTCTGCCTAATAGGTTTTTCATGTACCACGCTTATCAAGAAAATTCCTATTTGGACATCTTTAAGCATTAACCCTTCAGGCCAACAAGCAATTCTCCTCACAAAATAAAATCACTAGTAACTAGTAACATATCCATTCCTTCCGCCAGCAGACACTGCTTCATTTTTCTTGATAAAATAATAAATACTTACTTATTAACCACATTGTAGGTAAATTAAATAAAAATAACCTGTTATAAATTTAAATAAAGTCCATAAACTGATGTCGATTTTGAAAATAGCTACTAAGTGTCACTAGAAAATTGACATGGAGACAACCTAACCTAACCAGCCATCTTGATTACAATCAAATACGTTTAAATAAAATATACGACGGCCTCCCCATAAGAGCAATGAGAGGATTTACGACCCAGTCAGGGCCATGTAAGTGAAATATTAAAAATGGTTCCAGCAAAAGTTTCCCAATTATGACGGGTGATGGCACTGATCGTCAAAATTTTTGTACAGGGATTTTGCTTACCGACAATACGACGGGAGCTACGACCGGACCAGGGACCAATCAGAATGATCAGTCTTTCTTGGACATTTGCCGCGGCGGAAGTGTGTTAATTTCTGTTGTGATAAGTGTGGTTGTGTTTGCAGTTTGATTTTTCGGTTTTGATATTATGTTAAAATTAATTTTGAAGTATTGTATCACCTGTTTTTATGTAATAGCACTTTTTTAGTTCTATGATCTGATATGTTATGATTTGTTAATGTTTGTTTAACAATGTTATACCAAAGAGGTTATACTTTTAATATATCAATTTGCATAGCCTAACTTTTTATCAATAAACTTTGTAGATTTTCAGATTATTTAATTCCTTTTGTTTCCGTTTGTAATTTTATTTTAAGACATATAAAATAGCGAATAAAAAATAATGAAAATAAAAGTGTATTTTACAATTCCCCCGGCCCTGCACCCCTTTAGCTAACCTGTAAATGTCAGACTATGTCGAGAGATGGCGTTACGAAAATGGAACCGATTTATTACAAGGAACTTGGGGCTTTTTTTTCGTTAGTATATTCTGTGGTCCCAGTATTGAAGGAGGACAGAAAATCGAGTAGAATGTTCAAGACATAGGTTCATCCTTGTTTAGTCAAACCTCCTACAAACCAAGGATAGACTTATGTAGGAAATGCATTGAAATTCTATAGCCATCCTTCAATATCGGGACGGGAATTTAAGCGGTACCCTCCGTATACTTTATTTTAAACGTATTTGATTACAGTGTTATTGAAAAAACTAGAAAATCTAAAAAAAAATAGGAAACCCTAATATAGTTTGAAAGAGCATTTAAATCTGCTTCGACTTATTTAAAAAAATACAGAGTGCTGCATTTGAAATAACTAAGTTTTTATGTATAATAAATATTTAAATGAGACCAGCAATTTTTGATGCCCTGTATACATTTAAAGGAAGCAATCAATTTTTTAGTAAAGTTTATTTCTCTGGCTTGAAAGTCAGCACAAGAACTAATTCTGAAAAGTAATGTACGAGGTGTTGACAAACTTTTTTATTATAGCATGCATATTTAAATATCTCAAAAACCAAAGCTTTTAAACATATTAAACCCTTATAATAAATACCTTATTTTATGTCCAAGAATCCAAATGAAATAAAATACCGGGTGTTTCATAAGAAAAAACATAACTTTGGTATGGGTGTTAGTTCTGACACACCCTGTACATTTCAAAATAATTTTAATTATGCACGTTGCTTTCCAACATACACCCATAAAATATTTTATTTCTACATCTTTCCGTTTTCGTATAATCAACGGAGGGGAATGAGGTCCCAAGTAGCATTATCTGACTTCGAACTAAATCTGACCTGAAGCGACGTCAGACTTTGTGCAAATTTAGGTCGGGTGCTGGTTATACGACCTGTGACGTAGCTTTCCTATTAAAAGCGACGTCGTTGGATCCGAGTCGGTAAATCCAACGATCGGTCGACGTACAAAATAACAACGTACCATTTTTATTAATTTCCCAACGTCGTTCCCACGTTGGCTTGCACGACGTACACATACTTGAACTAGCCCGGCATCTACCCGTTGTCCGAATAGGATACGTCTCACTGATAATCCCTAAAGTAACGTCCAATTATATTTTGTTGTATTTTATGTTCATATTTATAACCTAATTTACGTATCTCTATTTACATCCGTAAATACAACCCATTAAGTAGCATTTGCGACCCAATGAACATCATGAACATAACCTAATAAAAAGTTTTTGTAAACAAACTTAATTTTTTTATTATGCCTAAAAAACATTAAAAAGGCATTTAGACATTCATCTACATTTTACAGAAAGAGGTCGAGGCTTTTGCAAAATAATAATAGTAGTAGTGATGTCTTGCCTCCACCCGTAAATGCTTTTTATCCGGAAGAGATGCTGCATTACACTGGCGCATCTTAATTTCATTTTTTAGCTTAGGAAACCAGCAGACCCCATCCTCCTCTGACATGTGAGGTTAGGCTTAAAAAAGTGGCTGCCCATTTTTTTTAAGGAGAAAACAAAAACTAAAATATAGTTGCACAAATCCACAAATCACTGATAAACAAAGTGAGGTTACGTGGCGTACGTTGGAATTATATACGTCATAATACGATTGCCGGTCTTCCGGTTTGATGACTTCGGTCGTGTGAGACGACTAATGTTGGAGACCCGGTCGGAATTGGTATATTGGTAGTTCATATTAAGTCGGACTCAGAAATCCGCCATTCTTAACACGTATCCGATTGTCAGCCATTTTAAAATCGTTTTTTGTTTTTAAAATTTATATTAACATTTCGATTTCTAGTAGAATAATATCGATAAGGTTGAGTTTGGGGGGAACCACAGTACAGTTTTATGATTAAACCAGCTAGAAAATAAAAAAAAAATTGTGAGTTACTTTTTTATAGATATTTTTATTTCATAAATCTACCTAATTTTGAAAGCGCTCGTTGTTTTCCGGAGTATTTTAATCAAATATATCAAGAAAGTGACTTCCGTTGACAAAACTGATGTCTGGATTAATGATTCAGAATTACTATAATACGAAATTAGATAGGCACTTATAGTTATATTCGAGGAGTGATTATGAATCCATTTGTAATTAGGTAGTTTGGTTAGGTTTTTATGTATTCTTGGTAGCGAATATGAAACCAAACGTAACGTAAGTGCTTAGCGACGAATTTTAAGTAACTAAAATCCAACGTAATATGACGTTGGTAATTGGTAGAATTATATTCCCTATTAGGTCAGATACCGACGTCGAGGCGACCCGAATCTGTATTCCCCATTTAGGTGCAAATAAGGGTCGTCAGGCGGTAGAACCGACGTTGGTACCCGACGTCGGGTTTATTGAACGCGACGTATACCCGACGTTAGATAACGTCCAAATGCTACTTGGGGTGCGCCACCCTGTATATTATAAATTTAAAATGAATTAATCAAACACGAAATAAAAAAACAGTTAAAAATTTACGTTTGAGTATACATTATTATTTCTCTAAAATTCCAGTGACTTACTTGAAGAAGGGTACAATTTTACAGGCTAACTTTTCAGCAGATCTAAAACCTTGCGAGAATAACATAACTTCAGCAATAAGCTGCCTATCTGGTGTGGTCATAGCCAACGACCTAAAGAGTTTCTTCAAATTGTCGGGCAAGTTGGACCTTCCGGCATACCCGGGGTTCATAGTAATAAAGATTGCCATATCTGGGGAAACTCTGACTTGTTTTCCGACCAATTCCACGCTGATACCTTTAAAAAATATTATTAGTATCCAAATTTAGTAAAAAAATTGGTCAAGTGCGAGTCGGACTCGAGCACGAAGGGTTCCGTACCTTTCATTATCTATACAACATTAGACACTATATTATTACAAACTTTTTTCCGATTTAGCTCAAATTTTGAATGCGGGTATAAGTAATTATAAAAAAATGAAGAAACACATTACTAAAAATTGTATTAATCCATAATAAATATGTAAAAAGTAAAAATAAATATGTAAAAATTAAAAAAAAAACGATTAAAAATAAGTCGCCTTGACTAGGATTCGAACCTGCCTTACTACGGCTCCAACGTCACAGCAGCGTAAAGTCCTAACACTTTAACCACGCGGCCACCGAGGACTTGAAAGATTCTATGTAAAATGATTACTTAAAAGAAAAGTACTTTTTTATTTATAAACATTTATTTAATTCTGTTTTTAGTATTTGTTCTTATAGCGGCAACATAGATACATTATCTGTAAACATTTCAACTGTCTAGCTATAACGGTTCATAAGATAGACCTTTGTGACAGACGGACGGACGGACAGCGAAGTCTTAGTAATAGGGTTCCCGTTTTTACCCTTTGGGTACGGAACCCTAAAAAATAAACCATTTTAAAACTTACTGCCTCCTTGCTGTCCTTGACTGTCGCTACTTTCTTTCTGGCTCTTAAGGGCTTCTTGGATAGTTTGGATTTGTTGAGATACCGCCGATAGCATTCTCTCTTCTAACCTGTTGAATTCGTCAAAACAACCCCACGCGCCTACTTGACACAAACCGACGAAAATTCTACCCATCGCTTGAAAATCGAATGTCTCGTCGCAGTTAAACACCAACACGAAGCGACCCAGCTGATTGCCGAGAGCTTTGACGGACTCAGTTTTACCAGTACCAGCCGGGCCTATAATATGTGTATTAAAAAATATCCTAAACACGAACTTATTGTTATACTTTGAATAAAAATATTAAGGAAAGAGCATATCAAAAATCTTAGATCGAACGCGACGGGGTTCTATAATATGGCCGACTTAAATTCCGGTTTATCAGGGACGTTCTAATTTTATACAAAACGTGTAAAAATATGATGTAGGGTAGACTCAATAATTTGTTGTTTTATTTTACGTTGTCAATGAATGTTGGTAGTTATTAAAATTGTTATAAAAATATATATTTCTAATAAAAATAGATGAGTTATAATAATTATTTATTAACACAAACATCCGATACGCCACTGAAGCAGGTAAGTCAAACTGACGTATCTAAATTCTTTGACATCTAATCTTCGACAAGTAGTATATAAAAGCAAAATTACAAAAAAAAATATAATTAGTTAATTTTAAGTTAGTTTCATAAATGACCGGTTTACTACATAGTTCACTCATTGGGGATTTTTGCTTGGAAAAAAGTCCGGAAGTTTTGCAACTTTGCAGGTTTATAGGTTTTGGGGTCCCTAACTAAAATCCATAAAATGCACATTTCCAGACTTGCCGCCGGCGCCGCCATCTTGCCAAGATGGCGCTCAAAATCGACATTTTGTGAATATCTCGAAAACTATGCGTTTTTCGCAAAAAATTGAGGAGAGCAAAATTAAAGAGAATAAAATTTCCTATAAAAAAGGTTTCATGAAAATTTTCGCTAAAGTCAACCGTTTAGGCTCAAAATTCCTGGAAATTTTAAAATTTTGCATAAAATGATATATTATGTATAGTCGATTTTCCGAAATCAAATGTCGATTAGGGTTCACTAAAACTAGTTTTAGTTTAGTTTCTTCAATTTTGTCATAAAACAGAGGCGTATCATTAATTCGCTCATTAATTTATGAATAATTAATTTTAATTATTGAAAATGTGTACTTGTTTCCACACCACCCAAGAGGTAAAGTATATGGCGCGTTTATTTTAACGTGGTCTCCCGGAGGCCTACTCCACTAGATAAATTAAAAACTTTAACTTATCTGCAAAAGCCCGGCGGATCTGGCTCATTGATGTCAAAGTCGATCGTGTCTGCAATACGTCGTTCATCTTCAGCCGCCAGAGGGATATCTACAGGCATGTCCAACTCCTCTTCATCGGATTCGTCGAGTGACACTTCAGTTACGTTGTCACAGGATTTTCCATTGCAGTATGCACAAATCATTGAACATTTTAATCCTGCTTTTCTGCATCCGCAGGCTTTACCATAGTTGTTAGTTTTGCATTTAAAGGATAAAAATGCCAACAGGGATTTTGGAGCTGGATCTTTCAATGTCGTGACTGGAGTAATGCCTGTTTTTGTTTTCTTCCAACCCCATTCTTCGGCATCTTTGGTACAACCAGACCAATGCTGAACCTGGTGGTAAGTTCGCAATGAATGCTGTCCAGCACGACAATTAATTTTTCATAAATTAATGAGCGAATTAATGATACGCCACTGTTTTATGACAAAATTGAAGAAACTAAACTAAAACTAGTTTTAGTGAACCCTAATCGACATTTGATTTCGGAAAATCGACTATACATAATATATCATATTTTACGCAAAATTGTAAAATTTCCAGGGATTTTGTGCCTAAACGGTTGACTTTAGCGAAAATTTTCATGAAACCTTTTTTATAGGAAATTGTATTCTCTTTAATTTTGCTCTCCTTAAACTTTCGCGAAAAACGCATAGTTTTCGAGATATTCCAATACCAAACCAAACCAAACAAAATACCGATTTTGGGCGCCATCTTGGCAAGATGGCGGTGCCGGCGGCAAGTCTGGAAATGTGCATTTTATGGATTTTAGTTAGGGACCCCAAAACCTATAAACCTGCAAAGTTTCAAAACTTCCGGACTTTTTTCCAAGCAGGCCCCTTTTTTGATCTCCAATGACTGAACTAACACGCTTGTTTATTTGGAACAACTTTCGTTGCACGTCATCAATGACACCATGCGTCGTCTTATGGATGTGCAACGAAAGTTATTTTAATTTCCCTATAGTCACCTACTAGCGAAAAGTTATTCCATTATTTCCCTCGATTTTTGACCGAGATCTACGGCACGCTACACAACCAACTATTTTGCAGTTTTTTTCAATAAATCGCAATAGTGTCACTGTTAATTTAAGTTCTGCCACAATTTCCTCCTAGATTTAATATCTTTAAACAACTATCAGTAGTAGAATAAATAATAAATAACATAAAATAAGCTCAGTAAAAAAATTGTCAAGGATTTCCAGCCTAGGTACCTATACCTGGATAGCATTATACTCCTTTCTTAATCTTTTTATTCGAAGTTGTTATAAAGCATTACCAAAAGGCGATCCTCCTAATCTAGCTTCTAAAGCTTGCGTCATTGTCAAATAGCATCTGTCGGTCAAAGGCGTTTGGACGAGTCTATCTTGGACACCAAGATACTCAAAGCCGTAGTAGAATCTTGCATTAGCCATGTGGATGGTTAGTTGTTTTAGAACCTCAGTTTGACGAGGATCAAAGTAAAATCTAAAATATTAATAATAAATTTATGAAAAATTCACTAAACAAAAAAAGTACAAATTCCATTTAAAAAAAATCAATCAGTCAATTTAGTTTAAATTTTATTTGAATCTCCCTGCGCAACATTGCCCGGATAATTAAAAAAAAAATATTTATTTAAAATATTAAGTAGTATCCATACCTCATTTGACAAAGCCATTCAAAAGCTTTATTGCTGCACACTCCAGAAACTATAAGCTTCCTAGTAACGGTTCTCTTATGCACAAATTCATTAATCAAATGTTCCAATTTCTTTCTTCTTAACTGAGGTTGTTCTTGAAGCACTGAATCGGCCAATACATTCAAGGTATTCTCGACTTGTTGCAGCACTTTTTCCAACGGACCTTTCTGTGGTTCTCCATTCATCTAAAACGCGTAGACATGAAACACAAGTAAATAAAAAACAAAAAATCTTACTTTTGACAAAGCAGCTTCTACATCCTCGCTCCAGAATATCTGAGCTGCCAATACAACGATTTGAGCTTGATATTTGTCGCACCATTCCATAAACAGTTTGGGGTCTATGCCATCTTTGAACTGTTTGATGTCCTGCACAGCTTGAGCTAGGCTCGAAGCTAAGGTAACGCGCATTTCCTTTTCGACAAGACTTAGCCATTCATTAATCTTGGGATGTTCGACGGTAGAAACCGGTGTTCTGAAGAGAACCTAATATTTTTTTTTAAATAAAAAAAAAATAGTAACTGTATCTTGTGGATTTACTTCCGCTAACGTTTGGATATTTCGCTATTGCAATCAAATAGAAACAAACCAATAGCTTAAACGAAATAGTTCGAATCGTTCTATCAAAATTCATAACTATTCTGCAGATAAAAATAAGTAAAAAAGTTCCTATAAATATACGTTATAAAATGCTTCGTTTTAGAGATACAGTGTGTAGAATTTTCATTTTTATTTTGTTTTTTTTTTCAAATAATTTCTGAATATTTTACGTTTTGAACAACAAAAAAAATGTAATTTACAAAATACCATGTTTATTGACTTATGGATATGGATAGGGAACAAATTCCTTTGTTTCAGATAGGTATTTATATTTTGTTACTTATAATTTTAGATTATATTATATGTTATTTTATTTGCTGCGGGAGCCGGTATCATGTATTTTTTATATGTATTTGTACCCCCTTTCTCTGATAGATATGTTAAAGACACCCGGAAAAAAATAAGTGAGTATGTTATATTTATCAGCCTATTAAGAAAAAAGTAGAAGTATAGTAGTGTCAAAAATATTTCGAACCTCTCTTAACATAACGAATTAATACATTTTATTTTTCGGGTAGTTTATAGATGATTTATAGTAACCAGATAGGAACTTAATTAATATACCTATTTTACTTTTGTTTTAGGATTAAAACTGGACTTGAAAATGGTTCAGGGTCATGATTTTCGTAAAGTTTTCTTTGCTTGGATATTCACTTTGTTATTGCAATTAGGCAGTTGACAAAAAATGTAGGTACTTATTTTAACTTATTTAACAATGTGATTTAATAATCTTAAAATAAACTTAATTTGCTTTGCTAATAAATGCTTATTTTTTCCAAAATTACTGACAATAATTGAAGGGGTGCAATAACAAGGCAGCTCCACTTTTTTTCGAAAATGGGATTTTTAATGCCCTTTTCACTTAAACTGATTTATTCCCTATCCCACGTTCCCTTGACGTGGTATAGGGAATAAATCAGTTTAAGTGAACATTTTCAGTTCGTTCAGAACGAAAGAATACTACTACTAATAATGGCTAATTTAAATTTCCCGCCAGCCAGAATGTGCGATAATGTCTTACGATACGTTTTATACCTATCTCTTTCTTTTTCATATGAAGTACACATAATAAAGAAAGATAGCAATAAAGACGTACGTCCTGCCATGGTCCTGCTAATTGGTTTCAAAATTGTTATTCTGAGTTGCGCTACGGGAACGCGGTCCCACTCTTTACCATGAGATTTGTCAGTCTCTTTTTATTTGTTTGTCTATGGTATTACCACAGATTATACAGATTATAATCTTTGTTTTTTCTTTATTGTTTTTCGTGGTTCCAATTTTCGGAATCGAGCACTAGTTAAGTGACTAGTTTGCGCACATAGCACGCCCACTTATCGCCTCTAAAATTGTGCACAGCCCCTGACCGGCACAGTTATTAGAGAGATATCGGAAAACCGAATAGCGTCATCCAGTATTTACGCGTACCTTATCATGGTTACGATATGCGTGAGGTCAATTTTTAACGCAACACCATTTATAACGTTACCGCCTCGGACGTAATTTTGCGGATCAATTCGCGTCCGCTCTTTCTAAATAACCCTCTGATAACGTTTAAAAATTGCTTAAATGGGCATGTGCGGGTATTTGACAACCGGAGCCGGCCGGCGAGATGCTTTATTTTAGGTTATGTTTGAATTGTTTTCAAATTATTGCTTTAGTTTTATTAGGTAATTTGATATTTAAGTAGCTGGGATTAGTTTTAATATAAATATCCCTTTAAAAATATCGGATTCCACCTCTTCCAATACTAAGAACAGTTACAAAGAGTCTCCGGGTTTACAGCAGATGACAACTTAGCCCTTCTAAGAGAATTTGTTGCTTGTTGCCCTAAACCCACTGGCAGACGTTGAACAATAAAGCACTGTAAATAAGCACGTATATGGCCGGCCCTCCGGTTTTAAAATACCTAGCACACGCCCATTTCAAAGTTTTAAATTCAAAGTTAGGTTAAGTTTAAATAGCGGACGCGTGCGATCGAATTTTCCGATCCGATAACTATAAATAAGAGTTAATACCACCACAGAACAGATACACCACCTCACGTAAAGGAAATAACACCTGGCCTTATTAACGTCCATGCACGCTATTCGGTTTAGCGATATCTCTCTATTACGCTGTTTATTGTTATTTTACGCGAGTTTATTTTCGCGCACAGGAAATTTGACTCGTTTGCACATCGTCATAAAAAACAATTTTCGTACTACGAATTAGGGACAAGATTTTTATCTGTATACTTATAGGATACCTAATCTGTGGTATTACCTTATTAAGTAATTGTGATCAGGTAGTAATTGTTAATTTTGAATTTTAACTTGATATAATGTCATTTTAACAGAACGTCAACGGTTTTTGTAGACGTATCTATTTAAAAAAAAAACTAAAGTGTTCTCGAATAGTTGCATTTTTTAAATATTTTAAATAGTTTTTTTTCTTTATTCTTTGTATTTTTTTTGCTTCCGACGACGGAAAAATATAAATTTTCCGAAACGTTAAGCATTTTTTTGTTCGTTAAGCAAATTTTTATATCTGTAAACCTAACTTCTGACAATTAGTCTCCGTTGGATTAACACAGCAGTGTTTACAAAAAATAAACTATTTTATTTTGTAGATTTTCTTGCAGTGGCGAAATACGCATAATGATTTTTTTGGAAATATTTACGTTTTGAAGTGTTTGGTCTACATTGTTGGAATTTCTTAAAGTTTACAGATATATAACGTTTTAGAAAGAGTATTTGTAAAATTATTGTATTACCTCTTCGCCTTCTCTAGAAGCAATACCGGTGATAACTGTATTATCTTCATTTAAAATGATGGAAGCAACGCCGGCAAACATTTTCTTGAAATGCTTTTGTAGTCTGGCAATGTTTTTACTGTTACCAATAATTTCCAATAGATCCTCATCACCAACGAAGTAAAAACGAGGGAAAGATGTCCTTTCTCTTTCGAGATATTCACCCAGAGCCTTTTGGATTTTTCCTATAAAAAAACGACATTTACCATACACAGAGATTTTTTAAGAGTCGTTTAAAATGTTTATTTTAAAATACCGACCAGGTTATTTTAGAAGTGTGGTAAGACAATGTGGTCTAACCATAGACTTAAAATAAAATATAGACTGAGCATCTCATTCATAAATAGTTGGAACATGCGGCCAGACAATGTCTTGTTATTGTTGTGTTATTGTTTTAGGTTATAACGAGTGCGACACGAGCGATAGATAGGTTGTCTCTGTCGTAACGGTCGTTCCCTGACGACTCTGCCGAGAAACACAACACTGTCTTTCGTTTCTCAAGTACACCTGAACTCTCCGTATCATAGCCGGGTAATGTTTTTATTTTAATGAAGCTATAATTAAATTAAAAATATATCGTATTTAAACTTTTTTATATTTTATTAAGATTTAGGACAGATTTTTTAAATAAAAGTTTAGAAAAAACGTCTTAGAGTCCAAAAAGGATAAAAATAATAAAATACACGTTATAGAAGAAATGTTATAATCGAAATTACGTAATTTTTGAAATTAATAATAAATTATTAATTTTAGTCAAACATTTACAACCCCTAATATTAATCAAAACAGGATCTATTCCACAGATATAATAGAATCGGCGACAGGGAGAGAAAAAAAAAATGATTGTTGTAATTTTTTTTTCTGGTTAAGTGATGTGAAAACATAAATCTGTTCCATTAAAGCAAGGAAGGTGATAGGAAGTGGATAAAATGAAAACTACATTTATTTAACTCGGTACTGTCTTTATTATACCGGGTGCGTCCCAAAAGTGGCTCATCCCCATAATTTTTTTATAGTTTCAAATAAAAAAACAAGATTTAGTATGTTAGTAGGAGATTTAGTGTTTAGTAAGTTAGTAGGATTGATTGACGCATTCAATTGTTTTTGGTCACTTCCTGTTTCACAGGAAATGACTATAACTTTTAATTTTTAAACGGCACCCTCGGTATATTTCTACTTTGTTCGATAGAAAATGACACTCTGAATAGAATGACATATCATATGTCAACTTTTGACATTTTCGCATATGGTTTAATTGTAATTGTAACACGCGGTTCATAACGACAATTTGACTCGAAATACCAAGTGTGTTGTATCAATATATTCATAAAAAATGCTTTTTCCAAATATGCTAATGAGTCACCATTGTTCCATTTGAAAAAATTGACATATGTAGGATTAAAAATACGATTTGTACATCTTTTAACCGGCCTAGACAAGACACGAAACACATTAGACGATCAAAACTATTTTTCCAAGGCTCCTTGATTAAAACTTAGTGTCTTTAACAACACCATGGCACCCTGGATTGAAATTTAAAATACGATTTGTTTTTAAGCGACAATATCAAAAGTTGACATATGATATGTCATTCTATTCAGAGTGTCATTTTTATCGAATAAAGTAGCAATATACCGAGGGTGCCTTTAAAAATCAAAAGATGTAATCATTTCGGTGAAACAGGAAGAGACCAAAAACAATTGAATACAAACAATTGAACGGTGAAACAGGAAGAGACCAAATTCAATAAATCCTAATTTATGTCATATACCTACTAACATACAAATCTGTTTTTTTTATCTGAAAAAATAAAAAAGTTATAGGGGTGAGCCACTTTTGAGACGACCCGGTATATTAAAAAATATTCTTTCATAATGTAATATCATTTTAAAATTCTTGTACGTTATTTTAGATTCTGAAGATAATTTTTGAATAAACCGGAATATATTTTTAATAAAAACATTATTAATTATTAACAGGGTTATAATTATGATTTTGTTACAATGTAAGTAAGTAAATAATGTAATGTAAGAGAAAAAATTCAGATTTTACATTTTACTAAAATATTATCTAAATAAGCGCCTTTCTTAAACAACGCCACTGACTCCCAATGGGTAAATTGAGAGTTGCCTACCGGTCGAAAGTCGTTTCAAGAATTAAATGGATTATTTAAGTCAAATTTCTTACAAATTTGGCACTGGCGAACCATATTTTATAGTTCTTGAACAGAAAAAGTCAATAAAATAAATACTTAAGAACTACAAGCTAAGAAAATGCGTTAATACAGCCGGGGACATAGCGGCAATAAAGCTTTACGGCACACGTGCGACGCGTACTACAAGGTAATAAATGAATGAATAGGCTCCCTCGCCTCTAATCGGTGTTGTCATATTGTAAAGAACTTATCCTTTTTAAACAGTATCCGACTTATAATTTAATAGTATAAGGACTATTTAATACATTTATGGGATACTAAAACCTACTTTATTAAACTGTAGTATTAATATCTCAATATATGTGTATAACAAGAAAAAACATATTGATAATATTAAAGACGTGACAACATAGGCTGGATGAGGAAGGCTCGGTCGACTGTACCCAGAAGTAAACATGTGTACAAAAAAGATTGTTTGACCGCGTTGAGATGTAAATAGTGTAGTCTATATTTTATTTTAAGTCTATGGGTCTAACGATTTTAAAAATATGAATCAAGTTTAAAAATATTATGAATCAATAATAATCAAAATGCTGTCTCTATCTGTCCTCTCTCTCTCTATCTATCAGAAAAACAATACAATTCATCCAAACAAAACGAACATTTTAAACTCTGCACGCATGTTTTGATAACACTAAATATTTCGCTTACAACTAGATATTTATTGATAAAAATTCTGACACTTTGCTTTTCTTACTGTACAGGGTGTCCCATTTTAGTTGAAATCATACGGTATCTCCGTTATTAGTAAAGATAGGAGGATACGGTTTGCACAAACCTGTCCCACTTTTTTGTCAAACGGAAGATGCCGTAAATAAAATTTTCATAGCGCTCTTCGTTTCTGAGCTACAGGGTCTTTTTGTAAATTTAGCAATTTGGGACACAGTATCTCCGTTACAGTTGATGATATCGAGAAGGTGAAAACTGATTCTTGTAGAAATTTTTACGTAGAATACAGTCGTGTAGTCTATAAAGTAATATAAGTAATATTTTCGAAAATCTGAACTAAAGTTATGTTTTTTTCAAATGGAACACCCTGTATATTTATAAATCATATGATCCGTCTTGCTATGAGCTTCTCAAAAATATATATCACTCTATATTTATTTTCACTATTTACTGCAATATTTAATACATATCATTTTCTTATTAGTAGGCCGTGATAAATAACAAAAAATAAAAATGGTATTTACTAAAATAGTCATAAAACACATATTAAAATTTTATTCGGGATTGATTATTTTACTTTTGAACTGTTTTGAATAGGTATATTTTTCTTTTTTAATCTAAAAGCTTGCATTATTAAAGCATTTACCGGGTGTTCGACATTGTAGTTGCCACGATATATTTCATATTTCAAAAATTCCCAGAATCAGAAATCGAAAACGGACAAATCAGGGAATCAGAGAAGCCATCATATGGGTCCATTGGTTCCAATTCGCGGTAGAGAGTTAAGTTTCCAATACATAAAGCATTTATTAGTGACTCCCAAAATAAAACAAGAGAGAAATAGCAGTATACTTTAATATTCGTTACTTTCTTTTATTATCAATCATGGCCTACTAATAAATATATGATCTTTTAATAATTTTTTTTAAATATTGCAGTAAATGGTGAAAATAAATATAGAGTGATATATATTTTTGAGAAACTTATGGCAAGCCAAATCATATAATTTATAAATATACAGGGTGTTTCATTTAAGAAAACATACCTTTAGTTTATATCTTCAAAAATATTCTTTTCGTAAGATAACAGAATACGCCACTGTATTCTACGTAAAAAGTTCTACAATACAGTTTTCACCTTCTCGATACCTTTACCAATAACAGAGATACAGGGAGTGTCCCAAATTGCAAAATTTTCAAAAAAAACTCTGTAGCTAAAATAAAAAATAGGGTGTTGCATTTAAAAAAAACAGATGTTATATTCGCCACACTTTTTTGAAGCACCTTGTATACTCTATAATAATTTTAAAATGTGTATCTTAACCTTCCCTATAACTTTTATATTTAATTCTTTTTTGTAAACCTCGAAACAAATGAGATAATGGACTTTACTCTATCGCTGACTCATCCTGTACATAATTATTCAATAGATTTCATCGTGGGATATACCAGAACATCTGGAGTAAATTAAAATATTTAATTTAATTAAAACGTCAACAAAAAAATAACATGTATTCAAATTCAAATTGCAATATAACTAATATTTAGTAGGTAACTATAAAAAAATACATTTTTTTAACAATGTTTACAGAAGAACAGGCAAAACTAAAAATTAATTCGTTCTCAAAATTCATTTTTTAAAATTATGTGGAGCAGTCATTAACATTTAATAATCGGTTAGGTTGACTTCGGCCGCCAGTAATGACTCTTTCTGGTTAATATGATGTTGGGGAACTTATAGTTTGGCTGGAATATCGGGAAGATCCTGGAGTGGCAGAGATAACTTCAGCTGGTGCAAAACTCATTAACGTTGCTTCAGTGTCTGTGACAAGTTGGAACACCTTCTTTTTGATGCGCAGTTGTAATGGTGCTGAGAACGTTTTTACTGTTGCAGCCATTGAAGAAAAAAAGACATCCAGAGGGTGTACGTTTGAGTGCTGCGAAACCTGCCGTTTGCGCTTAAATTGCATTAGCGATTGCTGTACTTTTTTACGCGTTCGTTCAATAGTTGGAAGTGATCTTCGAATACTCGAAACGCTTTCCACTGAATCGAGGGTTGCAGGTTCAGAAAAACCTTCAGATGATTGCCGGGTAGGACCGCAAGCATTATCCACGTCATCGGAACTAAGAACAAATACTTCCTCTGGATGTTGCAAATAGGGGTTTATAAATGCCGATCCTTTATCGAATTTTATTAGTTCGTTCTTTTTCGCGCTTTGGCCATTTTTAGTTCTCTTAAACCGTTTGGTTTTTATACAATTATCTCTTAATTTTCTCCAAGTTTCTTCACAGGCGACACCTA